AACTTGCAGCTATTCAGCACAAAGAGCTGCTTGTTGCCTCTTGCGCAGGGCATCAGTTCCATGAGTGCATGGGATCTGTGGTGCTATGCAGGATGAGCAGAGCTTCTCGGGCAAACGAGTTAGCTTTGCGCTCGCCCTGCGGCGGCCATGGTATGAAGACAGTGCGGGGCGCGTGATAGAAGCGTTGATTCACTCTACGTTTGGCGTTGGCGAAGCATGTAAGGCATTTGCGGCTTTTGAAAAGAAACACCACTTGCGAAGACGTCCGCGGTGCCACTCAGTCAACAGATTTTTTTTCCAAAATGTGTGTGTTGGTGAGCGTTTATGCTCTTTCGAACGGGATCTTTCAATCCACCTGCAGCACAGAAATTTCTATACCCGAAGGCAGTAAGCGTGCAGACGGAGCTCGTGCTGCTCGTTTCGCTGGCTCTGAGTAGATACGTTGTGAGTGTGTTGAAATTGAATGCCCCATTAGTCCACACAAGGGCGAACCACACACCCTTTTGCCTTTCAGTCATTACCTTTTTTGACTTTAAGGCAAGTGCTACGAGAAGATCCAACATTTCTCGTTTTTTATGTAAATAAAGTAGCTGTCCACATATAATGATCTTTGAGGCTTTTTGGTTGCCCAGGTGGTTAAACTGTAACTCGTAGTATTCCGTAACACAACATTTACGTTGGAGCAGAGACTTAAGTTTTATGAAAACATAATACATGCCACAGGGCGATGATATGTCAATAATATACGTAACGTATCAGCCGTTAGCTTATTCAAGTGGTGTATAATACGCTTGCATATAGTTTGTTGAATATTAGAAGTATAAATGTAACCTCTAGTATGCTGACAGTAAAGCAGAGCTTACACTGTCGCCACGATTAACAGTAAGCTAACATCAGTAACCTCACCTGAGTCATACGATTAGAAGTTTACGTTTGTTATGTTGTCAACAAATTGCATAGACTGAACTGTAATCACAGTTGTTGCATGACATTACGTCTGCATGTGGTCTTTCTCCAAAGCTGCTTTAACAATGGCCAGCTTTGATCCCTGGAGGTCTCCTGTTTCTAACTTTGCATTGCCATTGCATTAATGTGGGATTTTTATGACGCTGGCACATTCAAATCATCAACTTCTGTTATCACCGTTGTTGAGAAATTATGAACTGTTAATGACCTCTAAATCAACAAATAGAAACCCCCGTTACGAGCTGCATATGATGGCGCCTTTACACTAATTCATACGTTCAATTGAACGTGGGGATTTCGTTGTATTGTTTCCAAGGTTACATTCAAAGGCAGCAGGCTCTGTGCATAGGGTGCTGCCAGCTGGTTAATGCAAGGGGAACTGTCGGTCATTGGTGTCTCAAATTCAAGAGCCTTCGTACTCAGGTGTGACGTGCGTACTTCGCTAAACATCTTGGTTTAGCGCATAATTAGATGACAACTGTCTCTTGCAGCAGCTAAAATGTCTTAACGAACGTGAGGTTGCTGGGGCGTTGCGTTGTATTGTTTGCTCTTTAACCGCAGCCTGCGCCGTTGTTTCGGTGTCCGTCCGGTCGACATGGTAGGAGCCTGCAGCGTCGACTGCCCCGCTTCTCCCGTCTATTCCTGAGCGGAAGTAGCAAGAGAGTTGCGGAATTCGGCGACCCTCATGCGGAGCAGTGCGTCGCGGTGGGCGACAGCCGTTCGTGCAGCTGTATTGCCGGAGATAGCCGCGTCTTCCAACAGAGGCACCGGCGCCTGCAGCAGAGGGGCTGAAAACTGTGCCTCGATCCCTACCCGATATCAAGACACAGTTGTCGATGGCTAACTGGTGAAGATATGCGGCCAGCGTATTCTGCCAGTATTGAAATATGTGTGAATATGTTTATTTGATGTATGCGTTTAAAATAAAAGTACATGTTTTGCCAATTATGTTTCACTGTCAACTTGCATTGAAGTCAGTACGTACACATTTAGACGAGTGCGTAGAAGAGAAGAGGTGAGCTCTGTCTTCTTGAAAGCGTCAACTGCTTACTTTAACGCGTGTGTGTGCTTTGTGCTGTCTCTTGCATCCCTAAATTAGAATGAGCCAAGACTAATTAAATATAACACGAAGTGTGGGGGAAGAGGCGTTAGAAAAATTGACAGAAGGGAGAAAAGGGGGTGTATTCCACCACATAGCGGCGGTAACTACAGAGCACTAGCTAAAGAACGGTCAAGTTTAGGTGATAATTGCAGCAAAAGTTTTCACGATGAAAGCCTTCAATCTCATTTGTTCCCTTGTGTTCTTACCATATCGGACAGATTTGGAAGCTTCCTTTAAAAGGTTTATATCACATGGCAGGTGTGCAAAAAACCCTTGAACATTTTATATATAGACATATTCTTCAGTTCTTTCAACTACAAAGACAACTTGAAGAAGTTGGCAGAAATGACATCTGTTAAAAGAAGGACTTGTTGGTGGATTTATTTTACAAGCATTCGCTTAGCTTTGGAAGCGGCCGTTAGGTTGGTAGGTGACCTTTCGGTATTTAAGAAACTAAGGCTCCTCTATATAGACAAGGGGTCTTTATGGGAAGCGCTTTTCTACAGTACTTGGTGCTTGGTAATATTTAGTAATACTTATGAAAAATAATAAATTTGGGAGCATAGCTGGATTTATGGGCGCCTTCATAATGATGCGTTAAACGAGTGTTTCCCGGTTTTCTGGGTCGTAAGATTTAACGAAAATTGTCATGAAACGTTCAATTCAAAGAATCGAGCGTTTTTGTGCGTGCTAGTTCACCGTAGCACTTTTTGTTTACTTGATAAGAATACCGAACTGGAGAGTTATGATTCCAAGATAGCGGGGCTTGAGCGGCAGCCGCATATGGTTAATAAATGCTTCAGGCAGGTTGGGCTACACTTATGTGTGTGTTCTAGCTAGTGCTGGTGAGGCATAAAAGTGGCGTGATACGCCTTCACCCTTTTTTAGCACGAAGTGCGGTCAATTTAGTTCAAGTATTCTTGTCTTCGTAACACTCAAAGTGGTGTGCGTGGTCAAAGTTGCCGCCACGCATACTAAGTGCGGATCACTGTACGTGGGCCCCGCGTTAGTATGGTATTATGTGATGTGTAACATGCTGTACTAAGCGGTAGCAATGCTCCTTGTTTAACTCGTGGAGTGTTCTCTTTCGCCAGCGAGAAGACTTGTTCTTGGAGCGCCTCAATAATTATGATCTCTTATCCCATTCAGAGGAGAACTAGGCGTAAAGAAGGCATAACTACACTTATTATAAATAGAAAAAGAGAAGAGTCAAACGCGAAATAGAAAGAAATAGAAAAACGGGAAGATAAATTGAAAGAGCAAGAAAGAATAAGAAATACGTAAAGCGAGAGGCACAGCAAGGCACAGTAATGGCCACGGTCATCGGCACGTGATCCTCCTGCACCTCTATGTGATAGTTGCTGTTGCCATGAGTCAAAAGTCTAAAACGCTTATAAAGTGGAGACGTGCAGCTATCAGGTGTTCTTCATTTCTTGAGAGCAGGCAGGGGAAGAGGCTTGGCAGGATATCGATAAGCGTGTCTAACACTGGTCTTAGAATTTTTTCACATGTTGCCGTGCCTGCGAAGCGACGAGAACAAAGTGGACATAGTCGCGATGATCCTCCTCAACCAGCCGGCTTGCTTCACGTTCCTTTTTTCGCTCCTCTCGGCGCGGTGGCAGCACGCGTTCATGCACGGCCAGACCAAACACCACTGTCATACTGTTATATTCCTCTCTGTTTCAGATTCTTTTTATTTCCCACTTCCCGTCCTCTTAGTGGCTTTGTTGCAGTGGCCACCTGAGTTGGAGACAGTTCTGACGCCACGCTTTTCTCTTCGCTTCTCTTTGTTTCAAAGCCACTTCGAGTAGGCAAGCACGCAGTCCATGGAAAACCGACGACTTGTGTGGTGGCGCGTCCTCTAGTAAACATTGTTGGAACCATAAGAAGGGGTTGATCGTGAGCGCTGACTGCAGAAGTGCACCTTCTGGGAACACTGCTGTACACGCCAGAAGCCGCCGTATAACAAGCCACAAGGAAAAAACAACAAGCTTTTAAAAATCCACGCATCTCCACGAAGTCAGTGAGGACAATTGGACGAAGCTTGGCCCAAAGGTCCACCATGTCAAAGTTGAAGTATCTGAGAAGTGTAAAGGACCTGCGCTTGCAGGTTTTTATAAAGTTTTGCTAGAATATGATCGCTATTAGTGCATTTTAAATATGTTTTTGTGTGTGCGTGTAATAGGAGCATTTCTCCATATAATGTAATTTGAGTGACGTAAAGCGACATAAAGTCGACAACAAAGCTGTCTTGAGGTTCATATTGTCTACGTTGTAGTCACGGACTAGTATAAAGCGTTTGTGTTTTCACAATTTTACAGTGCTCATTTCACAGTTTCATTTGTAGATCATCTGTTGAAGCTTTGTTTCATTCAAATACAATCATGTTTCCTCGATAACCATGATTTTCTAACCACAATGTCTGCGGAGTGAGCTTTGACGACAAAGCTAGACATAATATGGACGTTGAACTCATCGACAAGAGGGTTTTATAATGATTGGTAAAAATTATGAATAGCCTAGTCTAGCGTCAATCGATTTTTTTGTCTTTCACATCCACAAGGTTCCCCATCACGGACGTGAACGACGATAAGAGGAGGCCCTAACTAGCTTCAGCCGTACAAATCTCAGAAGCTACATTATGCATTTGACTAAGTTGACTCCAAGGAAAAAGTCGTCAGCCATAACCCGGGAATATTTCATGGGCTATGTTCAAGCGCTTCAGCCTGTAGTCTATCCGTATACCGTGCTGCCGTCTGATGAACGGAAGGAGAACTTTTAGGCTCAGAAGCAAAAATATGAAGGGCCTTTGTTCTCTTGTTTGCCGTGCAATGCTCAGCCTTGTGGTAGATATACCTGTTTAAATGGTGCATGGGTGATGGTATACTGGGCTTGAGAAGCCCTCCATTTGTTTTTGCGCCTTTGCTCACAGTTTGCGGCGTTGAGCCTGGACGTTGTGTTCTTCCATCTGTACGAATGGCCAGAGGCCAGCAGTGCTGATTGCCTTGACTCTTCAGCGTGACCTGGAGGGGCACAAGGTCAAGACTGCTCATATGAGCGCCACTCGTTTTGGAACAGTGCGTTCCAGAGATTGGAAGCCATCCCAGAAACGGTGCCTATTGTGTCGTACCATCGGCTAGAAACCTTACTTTAAGCCACAGCAGTGAAGGCAAATTCAATGCCTCAATCACCAGCTGGGAATCGAGGCACAGTTATCAGTCGTAAACAAGTGCGAAAATATGCTCACCGTACTGCACTAAATCAGCAACATACTTCATTTATTCCTTCATGTGTGCAAATGAATGACACCAAGCGATTGTCCAAGCCTCTCTACTTTGCTTAATTAGTGTTACTGTGTTCTAACAAAACGAGAAAATTCCTCTAAGAGGCACTATGGCTGAAGCCAAGTTTTAGACAAGGGGCGGTGTCTTCTTCAAGCCAGGAACTGCCCACGTTTGCGCGAGTATGATTGTGCTGCTAACACACTCTCTGATCTAACTGCTACAGTGGTCTATTCGATATTGCGCTGGACCACTGACCGAAGTTCGCCGTGCAGAATTCCGGCTGATGTTCCCGGATTTCGAGAGAGCAGGGGTAATGGCTTAACTGCCCCTGTGGTTAAATTAAGGAGTATGTTTAGGAAAGTCAGGTGGTGAGAAGTTTTGACAGCGCTTCACCACGGCGTCTCTAAATAATATATCATAATTAGCCGACGTGAAACGTCAGTTATTGCAATTGTTATCAATTTTAATAGAAGAGGAAGAGGAGGCGAAAGCAAAAACAGGTGGTCTGTTTGGAAGGGGGGCGAGAAAACGCAGTCAGAAGGTACACAAGGGCAGAGAGTCAGCATTTTCACGGGTGTGTAATTAACCCGGATTCCTTTTCCAACTTTAAAAATACAAGAGCAGCAATGAAAGCCTCAATACGAAAAATTCTTTACATGTTTAAAAACAGTGAAAACTTTCGTCTATTCTTGGATACTCAGTACCCCAGTAAATAAGAAATACGAATATGGCTGAGACCTGGTAACGCAGAAATCTTAGTGAAAAATGGTGGGTTGGATGAATGTCGTGCTTGTTTATGAACCTCCGTTCCCTGCAGCAATATAAAATTATTTCCTTACTAATCTATGACTTGTTTAAATTGCGCGAGTATTTAAAAAAATACTTGCAGCAAGTTAGCTGACCCATCATATTGAATATATACATGGTCTCCTAGCCATCACTCCACACGATTTCATAAAAACAGAAACGTCCTTACAAGAAGCACACCCAACCTATGTTGTTCTCAGTGTACTGTCGTAGCCATTATCATCTTAGTTCGTTGTCGATGTCAAGGTAATTACTACTAATCTAGTGTTTAATTCAAAATGGTACTTTCCTAGTCATGAAAATTCTATTGAGGTGTATTTGGCAATAACCTTTTTAATGTCTTCACTTGATGACCAGAGAATAAGAGGTACAAGAAGGCAGTCGTGAACAACTTCAAGTGGTTCAAAAATATCTTTAAGGAAACTAGACCATTTACTTGGCTTAGAATACACCAATACGACATTTATGAGCAAAAAAACTTTGTTTTTGATTGCTAAAAACATTTACCTCGTTCCATTTTCTGAAGCAACTCAGTATGTTGGTTATCATAACTCTTCTTCGCCGTGCTGTCTGTACTCTGAAGTTTGCAGCCTGATTATAAATTCTATATCTTACAACTTGCTTAGCATTGCTTGCAAAGTAGTTTTCGACACGCAGCTTCTCTTGTTCTGGAATCCCTCGAGAAATCCAAGTTTTTTTATAAGTTAGAAGAGCTTTTTTACGGTTAATTTAGATTACACCTTTCCACCTTTATGTTCAGTTTGTATACACAATGCTCTTTGATAAAACACCTTACAATCATGGTTCCATAGCGCTATTTTTGATCTGGCTGTTTGGACAAAGCCTCATATAGGAAGTTTTCAATTCTATTCATTCATTCATTCGTTCATTTGTTTATATCTATTGTAAAAATCCTATTCAATGGCAGGGGCCTCTGAAAAGCTGCTCCCGCTCTCGTACTACATGGTGGCAGCGTATTCATAATTCTCTTCAAACTTAAATTTATATAAGTATTTGAGAAGTTGGTCACTGAATTCAATGGGCGTACAACCTCGAAAACAAAAAAAGGGATATCGTCTCCACTTGTACTTAAAAGTAAATAAGCTAGAGTTGTTTATGCCGGGACAATTGAAAGTCAGTTAAACCTAAGAAAAATATTGGTTAAAAATGAGTGGGAGATTTTTTCTCCATACATAACAAAATTTTCTTTTTCGGCCAATTCTACAAGCTCATATCAATGATATTGGTTTTCCGACCCCACGGAAAGTGAAGTAAGTTAGCATACCAGCAATATATTTTTTTCTCAAGAAGAAATTACGAAATCGAGAGGCGTAGAATATGAATATGCTGGAATTATTCATCGACTAAAGAAACTGCAAGGTAGACCGGTACAAAAACAAGCAAGCTTAATACTTACATTTTACGTTATTCACATAGCATCGTGTTTTACCTTATGGGGGAATTCTTGAATAAATAAATACTACGAAGACGCTGTTTAAATTAGGTAAGACTAATTAAAAATTGCAGAAATAGAAATATTTCAAATATTCTTTGTTTGAAACAGAAGTTTTTCAGTGTATTTTTGTAGGCAAACGATAGGTGGTGAAGAAAAACGAAGACTGGGAGTGGGGATCATCATCAAGAAACTCGGCTCACGCGCAGGCTGCGAAAAAGTGTTCTAAAACCTTATGCAGGCTTCTTTTTCGGTGCTTTTGATGGTTCTCAGATCGATACGGGGAATCTAAATAATGGGGTCCTCGTCTCCTTCTACCGTGATTATGGGAACACCATTACCTCACACTGGCGACTGTTTCCCGACGGCAGAAAAGGAGGGCTACGTCACCTACAGCACGCCTCCGCAGCAAGAGCTGGAACTTGGTGTGGGCGCCTTGTCTCAACCTTCATTCGTTCCTGCAGAAAATGTCTCCGAATGCACAGCCGATCGATGCAGCATCGCACCAGCACTGGGCTACCTTGCCTTCATCGGTGTCCGACACGATCCAAGCATCTTCGTCTGCCATGATGCAGCACGTAATTCCAGCCGATACCATTCCAAGGGCAGACCTGCTGACCAAGGCTCCGCCATTCAGGTTAGTGCCCTGATACATAGGCGCAGCCTTTCCGACACATAGTAGACTGCGTGTATTTTACAGTGTACTAAATCAAGCCACAGTCTTTGCCGATTCGCCTCTACTCAACGTGGCTTTCGGGACCATATAGATTTTTTAGCAAGATATATCTTTAAGAGAACTTGAATCTCTTACATTTAAGAACAGTGCAACTGAGAATAACCGGGCTGATATGTGCTAACAACGTTTTTTTAAGGCGAAAACGTTATTTGGCTCCCTGCGCCATCGTTCCGATATTCTTCTTACGGCACCCGGTTGCGTACCTGAAGGTAACAAGTTATATCACCGCCGTGCGGTCGCGTTTCGGTGGAGGCAAAAGGCCCGAGGACCTTCCCGTTGCGCGATAACTTCTCGTTAAATAAAACTGATGGTGTAAATTTCTGGAGTGTAACACTATGGCGTGTCTCGTAATTAAAAGTGGTTTAGTACGGAAAAGCCTCTAAATAATTCTAATGAATAAGTCAGGGACACCCTAGCCACCATTGAATATCTCGACATTAGTTGAATAATCGCAATAGAGTGCTTGCCACCGCTTGGTAATTTTGCCATACTCTTGCCAAGATCTAGATATTGGTTGCAGACTTCCATTGTGTTCAGTTGGGTTAATTAATGTCTCACATTTTTGATGCCAACCAATCTGCAGCGCAGTGTTGGGAACATCATGCCACCTGGTGTTTGCTTAATATGTTGGCTAACGGTTTAGGGAGTATGTTTGCTCGATGTGTACTGTATGCTAGCGTTCTCCAAATTTGTAACATTTTCCGGAATATTGTCTAATATTGTATGGCGTTTGTTATTTTCACTTATTCTTATCCAGCTTTGGGTAATGTTTTGTTAGAAACTATTGGGCAGTGAGCAGTAAAACATTGCAATATATATTCGGTATGGCATGCTGTAATGATGCTACCTTAGACTAGCATTGTTACTACCCGCAGCATTCGACGAAACGTACGCTGCTGATAGAAAAACATGTTTCGTGCACTCGACTGCAGTTCTGCTCGACAAAAGTGATGTGCGTTGGTGAGGCGTCAACATATATTAGGTAGCTCAAGCTCTATTCATCAGGCACCCCAGTATAGCCTGCGTGTTTGCTAAGATATGGTCCCGCAAACGACTCGTTTTATGTGATGGCATTGTATGGTACTTGTAACACGTGCCTCAAATTAAAGCCATTCACCCGAAGCTTTTGCTTGTTATTATTCGAGTTGCAGGAGACCAGGGTGACAAACGTGTTCCTCAGCCAATCGAATTCTCTAGAGCGCTGATATTTTATAATCATAAAGTCGGTTTTTTTAAATAAAAATTAATAGTTCGAGACAAGGATATATTGAGGGCAGGTATCACATCAAACCATTGCTTGTCTTTCAATGAGGGCGCCAAAGCTATCAGTATGACAGAAAAAGATTATTTCGTGCTCTTCTAGAAAAGTGTGTGGGCATGATTGATATGTGGGGTTTATTGTCCCAAACCCACGATATGATGATTAGAGACGCCGTAGTAGAGGGCCCCGGGAATGGCGACCACCTGGGGTTCTTTAACGTGCACCCAAATCTGAGCACACGGACCTGCAACATTTCCGCCTCCATCGGAAATGCAGCCGCTTCCACTGGGATTCGAACCCGCAACCTGCGGGTCAGCAGCCGAGTACGAGTACCTTAGCCACTAGACCACCGCGGTGAGGCAAAATTGTATGGGGAGCCCACATTGTTGTGGCCTCTGGCCGAGCATATAAAATACACGCACTCTCCTTTGAGCCACGTATACGAACTTCGGAAAACTGACACAATATACTCAGAAGTTTA